ATATTTGATTGAGTAAGGTGGCTAAATGCCTACATTGTTGGAATGTACCCCTTTTTGGTGATTTGTAATGGGGTTATTTGACCAATTTATATTTGGATTGTGATATTATGTACATGATTGCTCTATCATGTGCTTACTAGTCCTTTAAACTTTGGCACTTAGGTTGTAAAAGAGTTATAGAGTAGGTAGGTTCAAAATTGGGTTGCAAGGCATGAAAAAAAGGCTAGAGGAATGGAAGAGAGAGAAAGGATAGAGGAGAGAAAATATGAGAGAGGAGAGACAGAGGGTAGAGGAAGAAAAAAACTAGGATTCAGGTGCAATATTTTATTAAAAAATGCTAGTTAAGCAAAGGATGGGCTTACTAAAGGAACTATTAGGTGCATGGGCAGTAGGTGAGGAAGTAGTAGATTTCAAACATGCAAAGACAAAATTGACCCAAAATCAACCTTAGGATACCTGTAGACCTTAAGGGAAAATGTTTGGAGGGCAAAATTGACCATTAACCCTTCTTATTTTAATGTCATTTATTAGTATCTAATTTGTTAAAAATTATTTCCAAACAGAAACATAACTTGAAATCTCTGATTACATCGTAATTTCTAAGCATGTCAACTATTTTACTCTTTAAATAAGAGTTCTTCATGTTGGAGAAAAATGATGGGAATAAGAAAACTTGTTAAGAGATTTTGGAGATTTGCCAGAAGATATTGAAAATTAAATAATTTTATGATTTATGCATACAATCTATTTTTATTATTATGATCTTGCATTTATTTATTATTATTTTTATCTTTTTAGGATTTCCTCAATTATTACTATATCTTTCATAATATTTTTCATTTAATTTTAAAAGCTTCTAGAATATTATCGTATTAAATTCTTGGTTAGCTAAAGACCTATAGATAATACCTTAACTTATTTACTTTATGCATATATTTTATTAAATACTAATTGCTATCATTTTATCTACCTTGTAAATTTATTGATTTTCTTTGTTCTCCCTTTATCTCCCTTTTTCCTTCTTTCTCCCCTCTCCTTCGCCATTTCTGCATCTCACATATAGCAGAATGAAATATAACCATTTTTGCATTTATGCTTGTACAATCAGTATATGCATAACAATTACAAACATTAAAACGAGAAAAGCAAAAGCAGGAGAACATAAATTCTCTAGTTGACAATGATGGTCTAGCTAAGGAGCAAGGAGACATGCAAGATATCCAAGGAGGAAGAGTTAAGCCAAGCATATAAAGAAGGGCATGCTCAAGGATTCATTACAAGGGATTGGAGGCTTAGTGACCAAAGTTAGGACCAAAGTCATAAAAGAGGCTCTTAAAGGATTGATTCAATATTTTATTAAAACTAAGCCCATGCAAATGAAGAGGCCCAAGGAATCATCTTCACCCTTTGGAGCATCCAAAAAGATTTATCACATGTTCCAAATGCAAACTTGAAGTGCAATATTGTATATTTGACTAATCAAGCGAGCATTGATTGCTAGATTAATTTCCTTATCTATTAGTTTCCCATTTTCTTTTTGGTATATATTTCTAATATCTTTTAATTATTTCCTTAATTTTTGGGATTGCAAACTTGCAATTTAAGTAATTATATTTTCGATAGAATCCTAGAAGGTGTCATCATTTAGAAAAGTTTTTAGATTTGATTTCTATTGTCATTTTGGTCAACTTTCTTATTTCTTTTTCATAGGTGGCACTATCCACCTCTTTCCTTCTAGGGTTAGGATTTTCATTTAATGGCTTATATATAGACCTTATGTAATTGATTTTTAAAAGACAAGTTTAATATAATTTTTGAATTATTTATATTTCATGAGAGCTTTTCTTGTGCCTTTTGAGTGCTTAAGAAGATTGAGATTATCAAAGGATTAGTCTTCCTTTGTGGGTGCCCATGAAGTTAGGGGTCAAGAGCCAAGTGCCTCTTGGGATCTAAATCCTAAACCATTGGAGAAAGGGTCAAGAGATAGGTTCCTCTTGAGTCAACTATCCAAACCTATCTTGTTTGGTTTCTTATTTTCATTTCTATTCTTCTTTGTATTTCTTCATGTTGTTTCTTCTAGTCTTCCGCTTTTCTGTTCTTTTGTTCTTGTTTGTGTAAGACTTGACAATCAAGCAATGATCCATTGAAATTTGAAGGGTCTACTTTCAGGTGTAAGTAGGGATTTAAGCATCAGACAAGGTGTCAAGAGGACATAAATATGTGGACGACAAGTTTCTTAGTGACAACGTATTCTTCCTTAAGCAAAGACTAGAATTCGATATGAGTTTACTTTTCATGCTTACGCACGTTTGTGTTTTAATTTGATTTTATTAAACAAATACTGGAGATCAAATTGATGAATAAACAAATCCACGAGTAAATTGAATGCCCATTATCTTCATGTCCAAGCAGTTAACTCTCCAAAAACTAAATCACACCAGATACTTGCCTTTGAATTTAACATTAAAAACCATTTTATTTAATTAAATATGGTTGGCTTCGGACTAGGGATCTAATCTATCAAGGGTAAATTCAATAATTAAAAAACAAACATGAAGGCCCTCGATGTCGAAGCATGCATCTTACTTTATGATCTTTGTCCTTCTCTTTACTGTTTAGTGCTCACCAACTTGATCATTTGACATGCTTCAAGCTTGCATGGACGCTAGCATGACATTCGATATACTTTGGAGCTCTTAATGTATTAAAGATAAAGAAGTAAAGAAGTATGCTCACATCTATATAATAATTATAAAAATATTAGGAATATATAAAATTTGAGATGTGTCTAACTAAATTTTGTGAAATGGACTTTACATATCCAAAGCATATCTAACATGAAGAATTTGACCTAGTATAAAAAGCCATTTGATCTTGGGACACCCACGCGCATGCGCGCAGAGAGAGATAGAGAGATAGAGAGAGAGAGAACACAAACAATAAAACAAAAGAAATCCAACAAAAATGAAGAGGAAAAAACAATATAGGTTAAAGGAACGGAAAAAAAGAAAGAGTGAGAGAAAATAATGAAGATTTTGAACTAGAGGTCTTTTAGGCTAGAAAAAAGTACAAGCCTGAACAAAAGCCAAAAAAAAGAAAAAAGAAAAAAAGAAAAAAAATGTAGCAGGAGAATACTAGAGAAAAATAAGTCCCACACCTAATAATTAAAATATAGATTAGGAAATACATAAAACTTGTGATGTGTCTATCTAATTCTGACCATTACTATGTTATAATTGTTGCCAACCCTCATATAGTGAGAGATTGAACTGTCAAATATAAGCACGCTCAATATATGACTGGTGCTTATTTATTGGGAAAAATAACTGCTAATTATTGGCTTTTCTCTAGTAGTGTAAACTATTTTGGTGCAGAAGACATCCTAAGCATAAATAATACTATAAGATTTTGACATGATGGTCTATTAATTACTGTAATATGAATGACAGGTTAAAATTGTTTGTCAGGTGTTTGTGTGTCGACATTTGTGCTCTTTCATTTCTTGTTATATGATGATTGCTATGGAATGCAAGTTACACCAAACCGTGAGAAATGACTCAAATTTTATATTCATTTGTTTGTCCATTATTTAGATAGTTTTCTATGTTAACTTGTTCAAAACACCACATGTTTGATGAGTTTACGACAAGTGGCGCTGATCTGTTGAAAAAAGAAATGACAGAAGAGAGTTTGATGTGACTTTGTTAATTTGGGTATGAATGTGAGAAACGGCCATGGTCTGAGAGCTTTTAATTCCCTCCATGCAAGCAAAAGCTTTTGCCCGTTGGCGAGACATCGATCTCCATTGCTTAACCATTCTTCTTTTCTCATGCATCTTTGTCCAATACTTTTTTCCTATTTGATTGAAAATAATATATACTCGGAAAACTGTAGTTGGTGGGGGTCTATGAACATATTTCGCTGCTGTTCTAACTTTACTTTTGTTACACTGAAGTGAGGGCACAAGTTTCGCTATCAACCTGAAAATCTAGTTACTACAAGAACATCACACATTAGCGAAGACTTTATTTCTTGCTAATTTTGCGTTATTCTTTGTTAATTTGTATTTAGCAAGGAGCGTATTGTTTCTTGCTATTTTTTCTCACTAATTTGATAAATTAGAGAGGAACACGTTATTCATCCTTAACTTTTCTCACTTAATTTATTCTTGGAGATGAAACTAAATTTCCTCACTAATAAGACTTTTTCTAACAGTGATATTATTAGGTAGTTTTGAAATACTCAAATCCCATAATAACTGTTTGAATCACTAGACTTGTTTACATGTATTATAATAAATTAGGAATTCAATTTACCTAATTTTTTGATTAAAATATAAAAATAATTTATTGTGGGATAATTAATTTTGAACTTTTTTTCCTTCAACATGTTTATATCACTTCTCTGATTTATAATCTTAAATACAAGTACTACTGTTAATTAATTTGCTGTATATTTTTCATCAGAACTTGAGCAATCCTAGGATAGATTTAGTACGGCATATATTTCCACAGCACCAAGTTAGGATGTTCTTTGATATTTATCACAGTAAATACAGCAACCATTGAAGTTGGTATTATGGAGAATATCTTATAAAATGTACCAGCTATAACACGCAAAACAGCATCAAGGTTTTTTTTTTTTTTTTTTTTGTTTTGGGCCAACAGCAGCATCAATTTTTAAATGCCTGTAAAACACCTTTTTGGCTCCATAATTTATGGTGGTTGTCATAAGAAAGATCATCAGAATATGTGCCTAAATTTCTTAGAGTCTGAATAGGTCTCACATCTTTTATTGAACCTCTTTTTTTGGGTCTATCTTGTCTCTGTCCAATAGTAATTGCCGACAAGTAAGCATGTTGTCAGACCATAACCAAATGAGAAAGCAAGCTAAGTTCAGCTACTCAAAGTCAATACAGTCGCTTATTTATGTTGTTCCATTTGTCCCCTACTTGATCTTGATGAAAATGGACACGCTTTGTTCTTGTGGTCACCATTGTTTTGTCACTACAAGCCTACCAATGTAAGAATATCATCACTTTGTCCCTAATAATATGCAATGTAAATTAAATTTTCCCATTATTCATCATCATCATCATATCATCACTTGCTCAGAATTAATCCTTCCTTATGGAAACGTCATCACTTTCTCCGGCCACTGAGAGCTTCTCTTATAGCTGGTTATCAAACTCTAAATCCTCCTTGGATGGTCTTCTTCCTGAGCCGCCTCTCAGATTATCCTTTCACAGTTCATATCAGAATTTCAACTTTGATGTTTCCAATCTTCAATCACCTTCTATTGTTGCTCATGCTGATGAGCTTTTCTCAGATGGTCTTATTAGAAGTCATGTATTTGTTGACCCTTTTAGAGTTGAGTCCTGTAATAATAATAATAATAATAGTAATACCAAAGATTCTATTGAAACTACCATGCTTAGTTGTTCATCGGTTTCTTCAAGAACTATTTCTGCTAAACCTGTGGGAGTCAGCAGCAGCCATGGCTATCTCAGAAAACAAAGATTGAAAGATTTCTTTCATCTTCTCGTCAGCCGATTTTGCTGCAAGTTTGGATTGTCAAGGAAAAGTACCAGAGTTGGTCATATTGACAAGGCTGAGAGGGAAGCAACTCAAAAAGCACTTGGAGCTTACTGTAATGATCATGAGAATTCGATTTATGAAGCGGTTCTTCACTGTAAAAGATCATTTGGTATGTCCTTTCATGTTCTCATTGTTCTTTGTATGGTAAGCTTGAAATTTAATTACGTGTTCTTTAATTTCTTCTCTTTTTCATTTCCAGAAAACTGATTCTTCCCCACGAGAAGAAGACAAGAGGATATGGTAGAAGAAGTGCAGAAGCGTGTCAATTAAGTTGTCCTTTAATTTGTGTCATCTTTCTTTGAATATTGTTTCACCTTCACCTCCTCTCTTAGTCCGGCATTTTTTGTGCAGATAATATACTTGAGAATTGTGGAAATCTGTCCCAACCTTATTCTCTTTCTTCATTCTTATTGTTAAAAACAATTCAACATGAGCTTTTGAAGCATACTGTTACTAAGTAATTGGTTTGATAACAATTCAGCAAGAGCTTTTGAAGCAGACTGTTCCTAGGTACTTGGTTTAATAACAATTCAGCAAGAGCTTTTGAAGCAGCTGTTGTAATTACTATGCAGTCGGTTAAGTTTCCGATGATATGAGAATGGACTTCACACTTGTTCATAAACTAATATTTTGTCCAATCTTTCTTATAAAGTATCTCCAATTACCTCATTAGAATAAACGAGATGTGGTTAAATTATTAAATTTGTCAAAAAAAAAAAGAATGAACTCCAATTTCACCACTATTTAAATAATCTTTCAAAATTGCATTACATATTCTCCCTCATAATTAATGAGTTTAAATAAAAATAATATTAGAAAAATTTAATTAATACCCCATCAAGTATGTTATATTAAAAATAAAAAAATTCTTTTAAAAAATACCTTGCCATAATAAGGATTAGAAAGAGTATGTAAATTTAATTTGAATATAGTTCCTATAACTTTTAATAATGAGAAAATGCGGTCTTTTAGTCTACCTTGCGATTAAGTTGCGACAAGCACCACAACATCCCATCATTATGGAAAGTGTCAAATATCAAATGAACTCATAATTTTGATATTATGGTTGGGATTTAAGATATTGAAACTTTTTCAAAAAAATGGAATTAATGACATCTTAATAATCATGGCATTTTCTTAGGTTTGGCTTGATTTAAAATCTAAGATTCTTTTTCCTCTTAAACTATGTTTAGATGGAAAAGGCCTGGGGAAAAGGAAAAAGAGGAAAGATTCTTTGGTAAATAAGGTGCACCACATTATTTGTAGTATGTCTAATTAGAATGTTCTAAATCATTTAAATAAAATCTTATATGATATTATTTTAATTAATTTTATTCTTATAATAGAATGTATATGTAATTTCTTACCTTTTCTGACTCTACTATTATTAATATCAAAATCCATTTATATTTAATATTATCTAAATATTTTATTTTTGTTGGACAAGCAATAAATAATGCGACACACCCGATTTACTTAAGAATTTATTAAAAAGAGAGAAGTGTATCTATTTAATGAATTTAATATTGATTTTGGGCCATATGTCTTGTGCAAAATTTTCGTTTAGTTAACCAATGATAATTAGATAAATTGATTGACAAAACTCTATATCCCTTAAATATCAAGTTGGAGGAGTTTTGTGAATAGAAAAAATAAAAATATTTGGGGATAAAGTTTATTTCTTTTCTTTTCTTTTTTTTTTTTTGAAAGCATTATCTATATTTGAAGGAGGGTAAAGGTCTTTCTTATTGGTGTCTGACCCATTTTACCTCCAAGTTTGTCCTTGGATATTGGATAATTTGTCACACAAAAAAAAAAAAAAATTGCTGGGAGAGTGACAAAGAGGTCAAAGAGGTCCCAGAAGGACCAATTAATTCAAGTTATATCCCAAGTGTGCTAAATTTTAAAATTTATAATTCAATATCTTAATTTTACAATTGCATCGTGATGCATTTGTAACTTTTTTTTTTTAAATTTTAATATTGTTGAAAAAAAAATTTCTGTTAAAATTTGGAATATAAATTACAAATTCATGATAATGAAATTACAAAATTGAGAGATTGAATTATAAATTCTTAAAATTTAATACTTGGGATCTAACTTGAATTAATTGATTTTTTTGAATCCTCTCTATCATTCTCCCAAAATAATTTGATCATTGCCAACAAAAAAAAAACAAGAAGAAGAATGACTTAACCAAATTATGATTATTGATTAAAGTTTCATGATTACTCTCTCTCTCTCTCTCACGTTAATAAAAAGATAATTTTTTGTTAATAAAAAAGTCTATTGTTTTTATGCGAGAGGAATTAATGTAGGAAATGTCAGTGGGAAAACACAAAGTGGGCTGAGGAAATCTGTGTGAAGGAGCATTTATTATGGTTGGATATGTGGCAAATGGGGAAGTCGAAATATGTTTGTTTAGCAGAAAAACATGACCTTTTATTTTTGGGACTATTGTATTTGTAATGTAATTGATGTAGTTGAGACATTTATCAGCCAACTCATGGGGGAGAGAAATAAAACAAGAAATAAGACAAGATAAGGGTGGCACAATGGACAAACAATGCTACCACAAACGTCCATTGCCGATCATGATATTCTCCCTTTGAATCTTTATATTATGTCCACACTTGTTTTCTCTCTCTTTGTTCATATCGACTTATTAACAATATTTCTAAAGGGTATAGCTGACATCACCTAGTACAATAAGGATTCTTGTTATTGTTGTTCTCTTTCGGATCTCTCTCTAAATGAGAGTCTAGAAAATAATCTTTCAGACCCAGAGTGGGTTTTACAACTTAAAGCCTATATAAAACTATTTATAAATTAACTGACAGGAGGTGTTGATGATTTGAATGGATTAGGACATCTTAAGTATAAGATCTTAAGATCAACTTTGTGTAAATATATGCAAAAAGAACAATATCTTTGGGAGTGGAAGGTCAATGATAGTTTTACCACTTTCAAGGTATTAAGTTTAAATTTGTGTGAATGAAAAAAAAATTTTTTAGAAGAGTTATCCTCCAATTTGGGGCTGATGACAATGTTCAAATCTGAAAGGTAGTGGAATCAAACATTTGCCTTTAGGAGAGTGAGAATGTTCAAATGTAAAAGGTATAAGGTTCAAACCTGTGCTTTTGGGAGAGCAACAATATACTCAAAAACTGCTAGAAAAATGTAAATTAATGAGAGAATTTAACGAGGGATCATCAATTTCTCTTTAAAATATAAAATGAGTGATGGATGTTAATTTCGTAGTTCGACTTAAAATTAGTGAGGAAAATATCGAGGATTGTCAATCCCTCTCTAAAATAAGATAATTAGCGAGAGACTACCAATCCCTCTCTAATAAAAGATAATGGTGAGAGATTTTATCCCTAGCTAATTCCTGCAAAAAAAAAAAAAAACTTCTAGCAATGAATTTTAATTTTATATTTAATTATTTTCATTTAAAAATAAAAATTTAATTTAAAAATTATATAAAATATTCAGAATAAAATTATTTAATATTTTATTTATTTTAAGTTTATTTTCATTGATAAATAATTTTTATTAAAATTATAATATAAAGAATAATTTAAATAAAACAAAAATATTGTTAACACATTAATAATTAAAAATAAAATTTAGTATTTATATATGTGTGTATTTTTATAATATATTATTTGATATATTTATGTAGTTAAATAATATATATTTAATTTCTCATATAATGACTGCAAGTGCCTTTCAGTTCAACCAACAAAAAAAAAAGAATATAAGGCTTGGAAGGTATGAAGTCAAGGATTCAAGTCATAATTTTGGCATAAATATAATATAATATAATGAATATGTGATATGGTAAGGAGCAAGTAACACAATGCAAAATGAACACTAACATGTCATGAGTTGTCACATATGTGACAGGTGATGGGGTACAAGATGATAGGTGACATGTTACAAGTTTATGCACATACGGTGGGTCATATGGCATCACCATTTTTAAATATAGGCATATTTAGTAAGAGATTAGAGAGAGACTAATCTCTCACTAAAGTTATCAAATTTTGAATAATATTAGTGAAGGTTGTGGCTGTTGCTAAAAATTAGCTAGGGACTGAATCTCTTGCTAATTAGCGAGAAAAATATGATCATTTGCTAAATTTAGTTATCCCTTTTTTAATTATAAATTTATCGAGGGACAAAATCTCTCACTAAAACATAATTTAGTGAGAGAAAATGGCTTTTAGTAAGGAATTTATCCCTTGCTAAATTTTATTTTTCTCTTAGTAAAATATGATCCAATGATATTGGATATTAGATAATGTGTTGAAAAAATTAATTATGGATTATCCACCAATACAATACTCTCATCAGTAGCAGAATTCAAACATGCATAATATACAAATATGGGTCAACATACCCAGTTAAATTGATAAATTATTGAATTAGTGTTTAGACTGGTTTACTAAAATACTATGTTTATGACTTATCATATTACAATTATGATTTTGACTATCAACCTTTGAATTAGTGTTTTGACCAGTTGAATGATCAATTCAATTTTCAACACTTTACATGACTTTGTAAGATTATGATACACCAATTGAATTAATATTTGTTGAATCATATTTTTTAATTGCTTAACACCATTTAATTTTATGATCAACTTTCAGATATACAAAAGCTAGTAGTTTTATCAAACATTATTTGTTTTAACAAAATGTTTTATGTTGATCATGCATTTTTTTTTTCTGGACTAAACATTATAAAAAAAGATGTTGTCCTGATTTTAAATTACACTTTCCAATCTAGAACTGTTGCTGAGGACAAAATTTCGCTGCTCTGTATTTACTTGTGATCATAAATACACTGCCCATCCCAAGGCTTCTAATTCAATTATTATACAAATAATTAATCTTGGGGTATGAATTGATCATTGACATGTCAATGTCATCACTAATACTTATAATATTCCCAATAATTTGCTATGTTGAAAAGATAAGCACAATGTTTTGGTTCATTATTATATTAATGCCCAACATACCTTATATTCTCTGATTGAGAAATGGGCAGGGCCCTGAGACATACTTCCTCTATTCCTTTTAATTATAAAATATTTTAAACAATTTTATTAGAGCTGAAAAATTATAGTTAAATATCTTAAAATAAAAAATCTATTTTACCCCCATTAAAAATTAGAAGAGATATACAATGAATTATAAGATTAAAGTTATAATGAGAATAAAATGAAAAATAGTAATAAATAATCCGACATGTGTCTTGTATTAAAAATAAAAAATTCAATAAGTTGCCTTATAGATAGAAAACATATAATTTTTATTAATTTTATGAATCAAAACATGTCAAATGTCTAATGCATTTAATAACTATAGTTGTCAAATAAATTGAAAAATTCGTATATAATTTATAAAATTAGGAATTACTTAATTTTTTTATTTTTCAGGTGCAAATTAAAGTAAATTTTTTCCCTTGGTATTTAATTATAGAAAAAAATATGCAAGAGACAAGAGCAGCAT